AAATAAACGTAAAGTAGAAATGAGAAAATTTGACTGTAATTCCTTAAGAATAACAGGTAGCACTAATTTTAAAAAGAAATTAACTAGCTTTGTATCGAAATCTGTCTGGGGAAATCCAGCTATGAAAGTCAAAGTTGCAACTGAAATTTGCCGACACACAGTCGGCGCTGAACCTGTTGTTTTTCAAACGTTCACTGAATGACTGTTATGAATGAACACTGAGGAACAAAATAAATTATACACACAAAAGTTAGTTTTTGAAAAATTTATTTGAAAACCCAAATGTTTCTGTATTCAAATGAAATTTGCTTATTCCAGCGTAATGTGCCTGTTTAAACTCAACTAAAATTTTTTATCAATGCAATGAAAACTTCACAACAAAGCTGTCTCGAATTTTAGCGTGTATCTTAAAATATTTGCTTGAATTTAGCATCAGCTTGACCAAAAAGTCAATAACACAATGCTAATTGATAAATTTACATTTCAAACAGACATTCTCTTCTATAAAAACACACAAAATGTACCTTAGGAACTCAAATGAGTGGAAGATCAATGGTCAGAGAACTATCTAAAGAAACAACAGCTGAAGTATTTTGGCCTTTTGAAAAGAAGTGAGGGCTCATATTGGAGGGAAAGATACATGTAAATGGGAAAAGAGAAAGCGGAAGAGTGAGAATGCAGTGGGAATGGGACAAAGTAAAGGTGCAACCCAAATAATATTAATGACTATAAATATGGGGTGAAAAAAATAGTAATTCTCCTGGGACCTCAATTTCACATTACAGAAACTGGGCTAAGCACTGGCTGTGTGGCCCCTCTTGGCTCAGCCAGTCCTCCACCTTTCCCCTATTCATGGTACAAACCTGGCACTAAACAGGATTACTCTTGACTGGAATTTTTTCAGCTTTGCAAGCTGTGATGTGACATTAAGGCATCCTGTCTGGAACATGACAGTTTTTTCTATCTGCAAGGGAAAAAAATAAAGGAATGAAATATTGATCCCAATAAACACAATCTTCACAAAATCACAGTATAAATTCCAGGTTAATATTAATGAAATATCTATACAACTGTGCATATAAAAATTATTCAGGGTTGAAACCTTCCTACATTTTATATGCTTTATGGTATAATTTTACCATTGTTTTAATTCTTATTTTCTATTGGTTATTACTAGTAAAATCCATCTAGTGGTCTATTATCAATGCTGCATTCTGATTCGTTGAGCTACTACTAGGTTATAATTATCTTATAGCCCACTAGTAGCAAAAAGCAAAAAAGGATTAAAGCCTAGCTTTAAGTAGCTAAGACTTTTTTATTCTCAATGTTTTTGACCAACTAGTTGGATTTTACTAAAACAATTATTCCTCTTGCCCTCATGGCCTCTAAGTTAATAGCCCATTCAGCCTTCGACGTATGCTTTTCATCACATTTAAAGAAGTGAAGCCAAACTTAGGCGATATGGTATAAACTTGATTGTCTGCGAGTAAAAAGTGTTTTGTTGTAACTGTGATTTTCACTCATTATCTTAAGGCTAATTATCCAAATTGCTCCCATTTGCTCTTAAAAGTACTTTTGCATTCAACATTCATTGAGTGATGTTTTCTCTGCTCCACCGTTTGTTACTGCTGTTTCCTTCTTCGTTGCAATGCGTTGAATTTCAATGTAGTGCATTTTGGTCATTGATGGGAAATTGCTTTTAGTCAAATGTTGCCTAGAATCAAAAAATGCACTGTACATGTGACTTCAAACTACTGTATGACGTCATGGCGGACACCATCAGACATATACAAGTATAGGCGCTGTGAGTTTGCAGCTCACTATGATGCATGCACGTTCCACACACTGTGCGCATGCTTCACACGCAACAAGATTATAAACTCACTTTGCTCGGAATTATCAGAGTCTCAACAATGCAACTACACATAGGAGTTATTATTAATAGCCTTCCAAATTCACCTTAATGTTATTCTTCTCAGCCAAGCCTGTAAACTTAGTTGCAATCATGCGACTATCCTGGTCATTACTTGTCAGCAAAATAACCTTAGACCAGGAAAATTTCTTCAACAAGCCCAGCCACACATAAGCTTGATCTGAATAGGGTGGAACAGTCCTCAGAAAAGACTCATGAATAGACTGAAATAGAACATAAAATAAATCCAAAAATATTAAGTTATATACCAAGGACTGTGGCCATCCAAAAATGTTATTAAAGTAATTTATTTTATAAGTAAATTAAGCAGTCAAAATACATATTTTAATATTTTGTAGCATTATTATGCCAATGCTATAAATAAAATAGCTGTGAAAGTAACATATGTTGGTTTGTGTTTGTTTGTTTGTTTTTTTTGTTGTATATGACAAACTTGAATGCTAAAAATTGATATTGAAAAACTCCTTAATCAATCAGGTAAGTCACCTACATCTATGGCTTCCTACCACCTCTTCAAACATGATTATGTTATTTTATTATGGTTGTAACTGTTCTTTAAAACTGGAGATAATATTTTGATTCTTTTAGTTAGGGGAAGCAAATACATGTATTACAAAACTACATCAAGACAACTGTTCACTGAATTTTCTAATGTAATATTTTATAACCATAATTCAGTAAAGGAAAGACAATATCCAGTGATGACTTCACCATTTTTGTTTGTACAGAAGAGCACATTTGAAAGCTATTATCAAAAATAGTACTTGAAAAGGAAGGATTGTTAGCTTTGAATTATGTCCCGGCTATTCAACTTCAGCCACATAATTTATTTTTAAAAGCTCACAGAAACCCTCCGTCAATACACTTGGTTTGGCTTAGAACTTTGTTTTCCTGCACATTATTTTTTTGTGTATAGTAGAGACAATATAGAGGTGCAAAGCTGCATAAAAGATAAATAAAGCTGAATTTCATCAAAAATTATTCACAGTTGTACCATTTCAGAAATTATACTAAATTTTAACACTCAAAACAATTTTCTAGTGATTTCCGTCATGAAAATGTGGAGTGATTTTGAAAAAAAGGTAAAAGCCAGGTTTTGAAACCTTTTTGTCAGGGTGCCTAGATATATATCAAAAGCCAAGAAATTCCATCTGGAGTTTTATTAATCATATAGACTTTCTCATATAGAGGCTATTGTACATGTATATGTTTTGGTTCAATTGTTTTTCTATTTTTTTTGAAAATAATTTCTTTTCTTTTTTGTAACTGTGGGGTATGGTAAGTAATGTTGTATGATAACCTAAGTCTGGAGCTTTATAAACCATGCATGAACAAAATTAGGCAAACTGCAACATACACATGATTACCAAGTACCATATAAAAAGCCACGTAATGAATAAAATCATCACCTCAGTTAAATAATACACAATCTACTAAACATTACTGTATAAAAAGCTTAGTTCATTGTTTTACATCTCCTTGAAAAACCGAGCATCGAGAAGAATGAGAATGAATGAATGAATGAGAATGTTAAAGCCGTTACTAAATTAAAGAAGTGAAGAAACGAGGCTAACTGTATATCTAGCTTCTAAAGAAAGGATAATTACTTCGGCCATATATGATTGCAACTTCTACAAGTAATCACAACGTATTATCAAAACACAGCGTAACGAATTATTTTCTTGTGATGGTCGTCACTCCAATATTGTTCTTCGTTAAATATCAATGTATCATATTTTTGCCATTTCTTTATACAACCATTTCAAATTAAAAATACAATACTCTTAAACAGAAAAAAAATACCTTATCTGAGAAGATTGTTTCTCTTGATGAAATCCCGACGACAGGAATCCAGTAGAAACTACAGGCGTACGACACAGAAATCGGCGGTGAGAGTTCGTCTCTTGGGTGGCTAACAATCACTACCGCTACTCCATTAGCGATCAGTTTTTCGCAGACATCCATTGCCGAACGGATAGGGTTTGGGTTTAAAACGTAGGAGCTTGCATTCAAGATCGCTCCCCTTAAAAGACTGCTTGAATTAGCATTAATTTTATCCACAGCACTCTGGAAGACTTTCTGGTTGTCCAGAGAGGAAAGCATTGCTCCTAAACCAAACGTCGTATTCACAGCGTTTCCACAGTACAGAGAATGAAAAGCCACGAATAAAGACAGACATCTTGCAAACACCGCACGTTCGCTAGCCATTTTCAGTGATTTTACAAAAAGAAGGATATTCCCGTTGCTTTCACAAAAGTCACAACACTTCAGTTTTGGGAAATCAGCCAAGATCTCCAGTGGAGCCAGTACACCTAATTTGGTTTCGTCACATTTCTCATTAACCCTTTCGGTGATGGCGTTTCTTCGGCAGAAATGTCTTCCCCGCTGCTGCTGTTTATTTGAAAATTGTTTTGAATTGGTCTTCCGCATGATTTTACATCTCATTTTGTCATGTTCATCCGCCATTTTGACCGTGAAGCATGGGTCAAGTGAGAGTGCAAGGTACCCTGGGAAAGTTTTCAGACGACCACCTCATTTTTTCCTCGGCATGCTTTTCATCTCTTCTC